ATGACCTCATTTTCTGAGGAGGGTGCCGCGTTACCTGACGACAACAATGTTTTGTCTTCCCCAGACTTGGTGAATCCTGAGGAGCCTGGTCCATCTGTAAAAGATATTCCACTGCCTTTGACCAGAGAAAACCTGTCGACAGCTCAGATAGCTGGCGAATCATTAAAGCCATGTTTTAAGCGTGTGGTAAGTGCTGAGCAAGCCAACCATGAGCAACAAGCCTATTCCATAGAGCAAAATGTGCTAATGTGTCAATAGTACCCACCTGGTGCAGGAAGTGTGGACTGGGGTCAGGCCAATGCTCTGGCTAAGCAGCTCATTGCCGTTTCACAAAGAAAAACGAAACGCACTTATGATACGGCTTCTCTAAAAAGACACCTCAGAGTAAGTAATAAAGTACTTGTCTTACTTATTTTACTCACTTACTTATTTTTACTTGGTTACCTTAAAAGTACAAAATCCCTGCTATGCCACACTTCTGTGTTAACTGCACCCGACTTGATGCAACCATGCAAGTTAGAAATTGACGCCAGTGCTGTTGGGGCTGGAGCAGTACTGTTGCAAAAAGACTTGCAGGGATTGGACCACCCCATTTGTTATTTCCACTGCAAATTTAATCAGCATCTGTTAAGTTACTCCACCATTGAAAAGGAGACATTGGCCCTGTTGCTAGCTCTTCAGCACTTCCATGTGTACTTGGGGTCTGGCACATTGTAGCGTACACTGATCATAATCCACTTGTATTTCTTGCCCGAATGTTTAACCACAATCAACGGCTCATGCGATGGGCCTTGCTGCTACAAGAGTACAATTTGGAGATTCGGCATATAAAAGGATCAGAAACTGTACTAGCTGATGGCCTCTCCCGGTTGTGAGTATGACTTGTTTTGTTGTCTGTCATGAATATTGAAATCTGTGTATACAAAACGTAGTCTTGTATTTTAAGGGGAGGGGTGTTACGGCCCTGGGCCTTGGAGAGAGTGAGACTACCCCTTATGCAAATCTAAGTGTGCCAGACCTCGCGGACGATTGGCTGCCTGGAGATCCCATGACCACTCCATGACCAATTGACTGGCTGATTGTCTGCACCTGGGAGTATAAAAAGGCTGAAGATCCTTCACACTAGGGGGGAAACTGCTGCTCTGAAGTGAACATGCAGTGGCCTCCTCGTCTGCTTTGCATGTTAAACCTGTTTGCTGTGTTGCTCTTTGTTTAAACCTGATATACAGCTCAACTTAGTTTCATTAGAGTTTTGTGATCCTGGCTTGCCTTAGTTACCCTTAGCTTTTATTTTGTGTGCCTGCTTTAGTTGACCCTTAGCTTTTACGCCTGACTGTTTCGTTTGTTCTTTATGTAATAACTATATGCCCAGTGGTCTGTTGAACAGCCCTGTCGGTTTTCTGTTTAAAGTTTGACATTAAAACCTTTTACTTTACTCAGTTTTGTGTGGGGGGGCTTGTGTACGTTACTCCTCCCCTGACGCCTAGCAGAGGGGGTCGTAACACAGTACTCTTGCTGCATTAGAAAAAAAGAGGCTTTCTCTTTGCAACCCTTCCTTGCATGACGTACTTGTTGCATGGGGCTTGTTCAGTATTTTTCCAACTGTGCTGTCATGATAACTGATGCCTGCAGAGTCTGAGATCTAGCTCTTCTTCATTGCCTCTGATTCTCTGTGATTATCGACCTTTGGGCATTTCATCTTGGGTCTCCCTCCTTCTCCTGCTGAGGTGGAGACAATTTGTCAAGATGTGTGGCTTCAGGTCTTTGGTACTCTTGGGGGATGCGGATGGCCCAGCTCTCATACATACACATCATCTCTCTCACTCACTCACACACAAAACACAAGGAGATTGTTGATTTGTATATTTGTATTTCTATTTGTACTCTATCCATTATTATATTTTCTTCTTTTTTCCTATTTGTCTTTAATTTCTTTGTGCTTGTTACTTGTGCGTGTTAAGAGAGGGTGTGAATAAAGTAAGGCAGTAAGACAAAGCAATGATTGTTATGCCTGAGCAGTATATTAGCTATGCTCAGCAGAGGACCAGAGCCAGGAGGCACACCACAGTGCTCCAGACCTCTCAGCTCATTTTGTTCAGAGCACAGAGAGAGGGGATGAAATTGAAAGTTTGGATGACCTGGAGTTTAAACGCTTTAATCAGACACCAGCAACCGATCACAGGATAAAGGGAAGTACAGGAAAAACTATGAACGCTCAAGAAAAGGTGGCTGAAGGCGAGTGATAAGGAAAGAACCCCACTAAATGGCATGGACACTGTTTTTGTTCATCACCACTGCTAGAGGTGGAGGGACGCAGTGCAGAGGTGACATCAGATGACAGCACAAGACATCCTGCCTGCCGAGAGTTCATGGACGATGTAATCATGATGACTTCATCAATCCAATTGATGAATCTGACAAAAAACACCTTCAGCATCCAAAGGTCAGAGATTCTAACCCAAGAACAAGGGATCCGGTGTTTTGGGAAGAATTATGAGAGCTCTCTGAAGGACACTGCTAATCTCGGGGACACCAAAGCTCAGCTAAGCACCTGGCTCATGGCAACAGCTTGGATGGTTCAGCTTCAATGTTTGTCTCACCGTGTGCAATGAAGTCCAGAACTCCCCATCTTTAAAACCCCATCCAGCACCTTATTGGGTTTATCCTGAACAGTAACAAAGATGGTGCTTGAATACAAACACCCAGAGAGACAAGTAACTCAAAAAAGATTTATTGTATTAATTGTAAAATCAGTAAAAGAATCACAGTGAAAACAAGACATGTGAAAATCCAAATCAGAAGTGAAAATTGAAATACAATTTTTCAGCTTACTAGAGTAAAAATATCAGTGCTTGAAAACAAAAAACAAACAGCAGAAGTAGTTAAATGTATCACTCAGTTCAGGTCATTCAATAATTCTGACCAACATCCATACAGAAGAGAAGCATTAAAGAGAAAATCCTTTAAATCTCACACAATTTTAACTCAAATTAAATATTTATGACAGTGAATAGTCACATCAATATTGATGATTTAGAAATGAAATACATCCAGTGTATATATGAGAAAGCCAAATAACCCAAATAAAAACCGAAGCAGTCAGCTCTGATAACTTCTCTTGTACAGCCACAGCTAAAGTGAACATCTATCTTCTTTTAAACAAAATATTAATAATTTTTCCAAATCAATGATTGGATTTTAATGATTTTCTTTTATTTAAAACTGATATTCTGCCATATTTTAATTTATGTTCTAAATGTGTGTGGTGTGTATTAATTAATTAATAAGTGTTCTTTATAGGTAAAGAAAAAATCAGACCAGTAATCATAGATAATGGCATTTACTCAAACCAGCCACAAATAAAATATAACGCTTGTAGATAAATCCGGTTAGTCACTTAGCCCTTTACCAAATAAATTATCTCCTGTCAACACAAAATAATATAATTAAGACATTTTGTGCTTTCTAATATTTCAGTCCTTAATGAATTGCTAACATTCACTCAAATTTAGAAAAAAAAAAAAATCTAACAAAAAACGAAGATTAAAATAAGGCAAATTTGTGATGTATGTGATGTGATGTGTACATTTGGCGAATTTCTCATTTTCCCGTTTCTGGCCAAGATTCACTTTGATACTCTCTAACGAGCTTGCAGCCAGTCAGTAAAACAGAATTTCGGTGTTTTTAGGAAGAGCAGGCGGTTTTTGTTCCAGAATCAGCAGGAAGGAGTGTTTGCTCAACCAGCTCAGCATTGGATTACAAAACAGAAAGCGTTTCTGTCTACTGAATGAACTCATGGGCAGTGTGTCAACAAGTACTGTGCACTTCAGTGATAAATGTGCTCTTATCAGTGTAAGCTTTATAGGAGCCACATGCAAAAGGTTAATAGCAGTAACTAAGAAATCCGATGCTGACGGTGATCAAGGAAACCAGCGAACGCAGGCCCGGATGTGCTGTCTAATTCGGCTGTCTCTCACCCTTTACCCTCCCCTGTTGCTTGTCATGTGTTTCTTTGGTGTATTAAGAGTTTTTTCATGTGCAGAGGTGGGGTTTTTTTCTGTTCTCAAACTGATCTCCCTGTTGGAGCTCAGTCTGGGGGGAGTTATTTTTTTCTCCTTATCTTTCCTCATGTGGTGCATTTTCCATTGTTATACCTCTCTGACCCGTCTTCCCCATGTGATGTTTTGTGTAATGTATGTATGGTCGGAGGGTAAGATGGCGCCACCATTGCATGCAATAGGTCGGCAGCCTTGTGAAATTTCCCCTTGTGGGACTAATGAAGGTATATCAAATCAAATCAAAGAGCAGGCCTGAGCTGAAACCAAAAGTTTAGACTGTTCATTGTGAGTGAACAGCCACTAGTGTACATTCTGTTACATCACTAAACCTGTTAAATTAAAACAAAGAAATCCACACGCAAACCAGGAATGTCGTCCTCAGACATTAGTCTTTCATGAGCCAGGGCTCATGTTTCATCATCACATGCAAATACACACACAGGCATAACTAGAGAAAGAAAGCGAGTGTGAGACAACTGAAAAGAAAATCTGCAGCAAACAGCAATTAGAGCTGACTTCTGAATGCTCGTACCATTTTGGAGGAAAATCCCAGGTGGCAAAATACGTGGATATGTTTAGCTTTTATACAATATTAAAACCTATTTCAATCTAAGAGTACAACAGCCAATGGCTCTACCCACTTTCATATTTGCAAAAGGTTAATGTAAATATGTAAACACGACAGGCGACTAAATCAGCTATCGCTCTCACACACCAGTTCCACTGTAACTTAACTTTAGAAACTTTAGGCATAGTCTGGTGAATTGGTCTCTCCTTACTCTAAGGAGTTACATTTTATTTTACTGTGATTATTGTATATAAAAAACGAATACATCCTTTAACAGTCAAAGGACAGACAAAGGAAAAACAGGCATTCTGGCAGCATCTGGCTTCTTTTTTAAAAAGGTAAACAAAGAAGAGAACCGTTTACATTTTTTTTCCCCAGAAGGGTCCCACACAGCTCAGTGAGAGTGGGTTAGATGATTTGGCAATAAAGAAGTGGCAGAGGCTTTCAAGGTATGGGTCAAAAGTAACATTTTCTGCCATCTAACATTTCTATATAAAATAATTTAGGACATGCTATTTTCCTGCATTAATTTGTGTGGTTTTCAACCTCTTCTGAAGAAAAACCATCACCACCTTTTACACAATTTGTGCAGGGTGGATTAAAATAAATGTATATCAGAGAGATGGAGAACTAAAAACGCATGTGCGTCTACAAGCTGGAACGTAGACATCTACTAATATATCGATCTAATCCCTTGATAGTTTTCAATGCAAATCACCAAACCAACATTCACTGAGTAATTTGTTAAGATTTCTAAAGAGTCTAGAAGATGGTAAAAAATCAAAACCCAGGAAGGAGAAACCAGATTAAAGTGAACCTTGCAGTCAGAAGTTCTTCTTCTTCTTCTGTTAGAGGAGCTTGGGCCTGGATGGGTTAGCTCTGACTGAGGAATAAGCCCCAATGTGACTGATGAGGTTGGGTTCTACACTATGGGACCTCTGCCCAGGGACTGTCCTGGCCACTTGATACAGAACAATGTCTTTAGCATGCCCTTTGTAGCAGAATGAACTGTCTAGATACTCAGCCACCCTTAATGAGGCATTGCCAGGGAACAACATGGCTGGGGTGCAGCACTCGGTAGCTGGCGAGACGGCATACAGCTGTGGGGAAATTCTCCGGACTTCTAGAAGGTAATGCCGCCCCAACAACTCTGCAGCGGTCATAAAGTATAGAGTGAAAAAGAGGAGATGGGTAGCGGACAGGGTGAACGAGAAAGAACAAGGGTTCCAGTAAGGAAAGCTGAGGAGGAGAGCCGTTGCGCCAACCAATCCCAGCCCCACCCACTCCAGAATGCGGTATGGCTCAGGGTTCCAGTAGCGTTGTAGCCTTTCAGGATGATATAGCTTGATGTAAAGAGTGTGAAGAGCAAACCTACGTGACAACAAATCCTTTATAACAATGAAAAAGTCATTTCTTGGCAAAGCATCATCTTCTAGAACGACAATATTTTTAGGCTTCACCAGCTCCCAGCCTCTGCGGAGACAAAAGACATAATCCCTCTTCTCCTTTTCAAAGGTATTAATTCGCTCCTGTATGCTCTGCTGCTCCTGAGGTGAACGCCGGACCACCCTGAAGTGGCTCTCCAGCACCTTGGCATCTTGGTTTTCCTGCGGGCCACTCTCCACATCACAGACCAGCACCTCCGCGCACTTCTGCTCCCCACAGCTTCCCACAATGTTACTCAGCTGCAGCATTACCTGGAGCAGGTAGTGGTAGTCCCGTGCCTCCTTCCGCCTGGCTGTTACCACAGTGACCAGCAGTTCAGGATGTTGAGTGAAGTTGTTGAATCTGGACGTTGCTGCAGTTGAAGAGCTCTGCCAGAAGTGCAGAGCCTCCTGACCTCGATCTAGGCTTTCCCGCAGCACCACTTCGCTCATAGAATCGAGGTACATGGACTTAATGAAGTAGTAAGAGTACAGCAGACGATGGCAGCACAGAGGAAATATGACACAAAATGTGATGATGGACAGGGCGAAGGCTTGAGTGACTGTGCTGGACCATCGCAGGTACTGGCTCAAGAACACTTTCCATCGAGGCATTGGGGAATTTGTCATGTGATGACAAAAAAAAAGTCAAAAAGAATCTGCTCTGGAGGATTTAGGTCAACATTTACAGTGTCCCAATATGATATAGCAGTCCACTAGCACTTACCACAGCAGTGAAAGGTAATGACTGTGGCTGAATAAATGGCTGTGATCTGATAGCCTTGTGGAAAATGAGTCAGCTATTGGTTCTTCTTCTTGTCCACAGAGTGGTAAGAGTTTCAGCTCAGTCCTTGTGGTCTGTTTCTCCACTGATGTCTGTAGAGAGAGACAAGGTATTTCTCAGTTATAGTTTTCAGCTATCCTTTAGATCCTACATTAGAAAACTACTTGCTAGTGGTAGTTCATGTGGAAAGTTTGACACAAACTGGAAATGGAGCACAATAACATTCAAAGTAAAAAATTTGAAACCTTTTCAAATGTATTGCAGTGGTAAGCACAACGTTTTATTTTGAAGGCAAACATTCTCTTTTTCTAGTTTGTACCAGATTTTTGTTAAATATATTCTTTGCATATTTAATGATATAATACAAATAATGAACATGAATTTTCAAGGATAAATGTTTTCTTCTTTTTAAAAGGCATTACGTTATCAGATTGTTCCATGATAAATCAGTGAGTGCATGCTATGTGAACCGCTTGGAATCAGCAATTTGTTTTTTTATGTTCGCTTATACGGTGAAGGCAAATGGTAAATGGCCTGTATTTGTATACCGCTTTACTAGTCCCTAAGGACCCCAAAGCCATCCACTCATTCACACACTGGTGATGGCAGCTACATTGTAGCCACAGCCACCCTGGGGCGCACTGACAGAGGTGAGGCTGCCGGACACTGGCGCCAGCGGGCCCTCTGACCACCACCAGTAGGCAACGGGTGAAGTGTCTTGCCCAAGGACACAACGACCGAGACTGTCCGAGCCGGGGCTCGAACCGGCAACCTTCTGATTACAAGGCGAACTCCCAACTCTTGAGCCACGATCACCCACAAGGCATGCAACATTTTACCATCATATCATTACTGTATGATGTATAACTATAGACAGTACATGGGGCTGGTTGAAATATAGCTTGTTTTCCTCGGATCAAAAATGAGCCCAGGTTTATGGTAAAGAAGTGACTGAAGTGATTGTTTGTGAAATTGTTTGGGCGACTGTGGCTCAGGGGGTTGGGAAGCGTATCTCTGACCGGAAGGTTGCCGGTTCGATCCCCGGGCTCTCTGTCCTGGTCGTTGTGTCCTTGGGCAAGACACTTTACCCTACTGGTGTTGGCCAGAGGGGCCGATGGCGCGATATGGCAGCCTCGCTTCTGTCAGTCTGACCCAGGGCAGCTGTGGCTACAACCGTAGCTGCCTCCACCAGTGTGTGAATGCGAGAGTGAATGACTAGTGCTTTGGGTGCCTTGAAAAGCGCTATATAAATCCAATCCATTATTATTATTAAACCTTCAAATTCTTGTTTTGTCAGTTTGTAACGCTGGCCCATTTTTACTCCCTCCTTGCACTTTCTTAATCAAGCATTAGCAAACATGAATTTGAAAAAGATTTTATTCTTAAGGAATCACACCTAGACGTTGAGCCTGGTATAAAATATAGATGGAAAGGACATCTTTTAGACTGTTCTGACCACTTGGTGATATGACCCATTAAATCTACCCCAAAAGCGCTTTTGAAGATTTCTGAGCTGTCAGAAAACAAAGAAAACATCCATGAAATCAATGCTTGTTTCTGTTACTTCACACATACCCGGTATAAAGTTCTTATACAAATAAATAAATAACAGTCTTCTTAGATTTAGCTTATGTTATATAGTTATAGTTATATATAGTTAAAAATAACCCTAAATGCCAGAATGTTGACATTGCTCACACACACCTAAGTAAAGTGAGAGAGGTATTGATTATACTGAACTCCTCCTTCACTGTGGTGGTGGATACAAAACCATTAGTTAATTTAAACATGTTAAAAATGTGAGTACCAAAATCACAGGTGGGAAGTAACAAAGTAAAAATACTTATATAGAATTTTCAGGTATCTGTACATTACTTAAGTATTTATTTTTCTGACAACTTTTTACTTTTACTCCCTATATTTTTAAACAAATTTCTGTACTTTTTACTCTGTCCATTTTCAAAAAATTGCTTTTGGTTTGACGTATTTGAGAGGAGTTATTATTTCACGTCAATACGGGCCTTCAAACATCAAACCGATTTGAGTCTAGACAGTGACAAATAAGTTCAAGTATTAATCGCCTGAGGATGTTGCATAAAAAGAAATGACGTGTGAAATAGTCTGGGGCTAAAGTGGGCCGTTTTGTTATTTTTCTTGTTGTTGTTTTGTTTTTCAGCACAACTCCGGAAAGACTGCCGGTACCCACAAGTTGCTGTTGTGCTACTTCAGCATCTAGCTAGCCATACAGAAGAGGAGCAACAATAAAGGTGTAACATGTTGTGGCAGGTTATTTCAAATGCAACTATAAGCTCAGCAAACATTAGCAAACGCTCAAACTGCTTGTAGCACAGTGTGTTGCTAGCTAAAGGTCCAACTGTTGTATTTCACAGAGAAAGAAAATAGCTAACTTCACTCGGAGATGGGGAAAGATAAGAAAGGCAGGAGAAGAAGAGAGGTTAGATTTAAAGATAAGGACTGCTCAGTTCAGCTGGATAAACTGGAAATTTGAAACTAACATGCAAGTCCTCATGTTTTTAAGTCAGATAGGGTCCTGACATGTGACATTGCTTCTTTTTTTTTTAAATTGTGAAACATGCTGCACAACAAACTGAGGCAGACTAACTCGCATTTACATGATTTTTAATAAGTTGCGTTTCTCTGAGTGTCGTGGGTCCCTGTGTAGCTTCAGCATTGTCTTTGAAGTGTCTTTGGGTGTTTCCCTACCCCAAAGCCCGTTTTTTCTACAGTCTTGTGTTCGGGTGATTGTCACCGGCAATAGTGATAAAGGGTAAAGTAGGTTTGGGGTGGATTTCACCCAGTGATAGTGTTAGTGTACAAAATCAGGCGATCTTGATTTTTAGCGATAATATTCTTGTTTGCTCTAATAAGGTTGCTCTGCAGGTTAGTGCTGGATAAACAGGTTAGCTTGCTGTACTGTGATGGATTTAAAGTAAAGAGCAGTGTGTGACTGGTGCACAGTGGCTGCCTAGTAAAAAGTTAGTACAGGCAGTGTCAGTGTTGAGGATGGAAATCAGCCAAGACAACTTATGAAACGTCTGCTGACATCTGGCTGAATTCAAGTGTGTACATCCACAAAGAGCAGCTGGTAGCTGATAACAGCCTGTACATTAAGAACATCTGCTGGAGCTCTCAACAGAAATTATTGTGAGTTGTGATTCTTTCCCCCACACTGAGCGATTACATCTGACTTTAGGAAATTATGCTTCTAGAAATACTCCACGCATCTACGTGTTGCGATAACCCCCGTGACAAGACGGTAGCCCGAGTAAACGTTTGCTAACAGTAAGGAGCCAGCAATCAGGGAAACACTGAAATCTTCCGTAAAGGAAGTGTGGCTCACATAATATGCGCGTTCACGTCGCTATTTTTAGATAATAAACTATATCGCGCTTTAGTATTTACAAACTCCGCGCGTGTGCCAAGAAAGCCGTGGACGCCAGTAAAGTAGAAATAAAGTCAAGAAATGTTACTGTGCTTTTTTCGCTGTGGTCGCTTTATTTTTTAAAAGTGAATAACAGATGACACCATACGGCAAGAAACACGGTCTGTGTTTAAACAGCGCTCTCTCTAAGCTCTGGGTAACACCACGGATCAGTCAAAGTTAGTAAAAACACCCAACACAGGATTGTTTGCGCTTAACGTGCCAGATTAAATTCTGTTGCTCGCGCCGTCCCAGCGCTGTGAAATACGGATCAAAGATCACCGTTACGCCGCGTGAACCATCCGAGAATGAGGAGGGCCTCAATTCAGACATTCTGAGAGAAAACACGGCAGACAAATAAATAAACAACACTTACACTTACTTGCGGTCGATTTCCGTTCCTCGCTAACATGACCGAACATCACAGCAACCTCCCCTAAGATACGGCAAGTGACCCGCAGTAAAATACCGTATTACTGAGAACACAGTCGCAGAGGTGCATACTGCTCCTGATCAGCAGGTGGCGCCACCTGACACAAGAAATGCATACAGGAGGGGTCTTTTTTTCTGTTCTGACTAATGAAAGCTACCTTCCGCTTCTCCCTTTTTCACGACAGCAGAAAACTCTCAAAAACATTTTAAACACTTATCAGGGACACAGAGTTGAGTGTGATAATCATAATACTGCACACAATAAACACTGCAAAAGGAACAGCTCAGCCATAAGTGACACACACATACACACAAACATACAAACAAACATATTTCATCCACTATTCAATGATTTAACAACACAAACTGAATCAGATTAAAACATACATGAACATCTTCACTTTTCTGCACTCCTTCCTGTTAAAGAGTAAACAAATTTCTTCTATACCACCAAAAGTTATTTATCATCTATTATCAAAGATTCCTTTATTGTCACCGTACAGGGAAACTGGCACAAGGTTTACATTTCAGAAGACTATTAGCTGAGTCTGCTGAAATGACACGTGGTGAAAGAACTTTAAACCCTTACTTTAAGAAAAGTCGCAATGAAACAGTAATAAAACACGCTGCTATGCAAAAAGTGTAAAAAGTAAGAATATTTTTTCTGCAGAGAAATGTTTGCCATCAGTGTTAAATTGATTAATAGTACTGATGCATGTGTTTAAGGTTGAGCTCATTTAAAAACTTTATATTCTGTTTAATAAATATATATATATTTTTATATATTTTTATATATATATATAAAGTATCATATTCTATAAATGGTATATTTTTAGTGGTTGCCCTGTGAGGACCACAAGTCTAAAGAAAAATAATTTTTTTAAAACCCCTAAAAACAGTTATTCATGAGCTCAGAAACTTGAGTGTGTGACATGGTTAACTGTCAATCTGCAGGGGATTAAAAATATTAATGAATAATAAAGATCGACTGTTGGCAAACAACTGTTACACCTGCACTTGGTCAGCTTAGTAAATGGACTGGTTCTTATATGGCGGTTTTTTACTCCACCTGAGTACTCTAAGCATTGCCTCAATCACGCCTCACTCATCCATTCATGCAATCACATTTTTCTATGCTTAAGTGTTTTCTATCTAACATTCACACATTTATACTCTGATGGATGCGTTAGAGACAACTTTGGTCCAGCATCTTGCCGATGGATATTTGGCATCTACACTGGAGCAGCGTGGGACTGAACCACCAAGTTTCCCATTAGTTCTTACCTACCTAATGAGCTACAGGTAGCCACTTACAAGTTTTGTTAGCCTGGGCATGAGAAGAGCTGCCATCTCATCAAGACTTGCTAGTGTAGTGTTATTAGCAATTTTCTTCACACTTCCATCCTCTTTACACTACACATGTTGCCCAAGGTGGTTAGTAAGAAATTATTTGAATTTATGTCTACCTACAGATTTGGCAAGTGCTGCTAGGTTATTTGTCAAGAAGCAGTTAAGGTAAACAGTAGGTAAATGATTTGTTAACAGTTTGTTAACCTTTAATGTTTATTCCCATGTGTTCAGTGACATATTCTGTATGTAAGTCTCAGCTGACAGAGATCCACCAGCTTACAGGAAGAAGAGTGAGGTAACACCAGCATAGTGACGCTTTGCTCATTATGCCATGGCATGCTAGACACTGCCAAGCCTAGCCTAGGAAAGAAAAAGACTATTAGTTTTCATTCCCTTAATGACTCCACGCCTGTAAGACACATGCTGGGCTGCTTTACTGGTTTTTAACAGCCTGGAGATGAAAACCTACTGTTTAAACGCAATATTGCAAAAGAGCTTTCAAGGAAGGAGGAGGTCCAAGTCACTGACTCACAAAACTATCAGGTTTACAGACTAAAAACTGTGATCTCATTTCTTTTGGGAAGGGCCAATCCCTGATTGTGATCAAATGTGTCACTCCTTAAATCCAGTTAAACTACATAAAGATGAAGGGATCAAGGAACGCAAAAAACTATTTTTTCAAACGGTGTAGCAGTTAATCTCAGCAGGGAATGAAATCCTGCTAGCTACTATGACCTCCACAAATAGTGACTGAATTTTCATTTAAAATCAGCAAGAAAAAGAATCATTGAGAGATGCAAGAATCTTAGAAAGAGAACGGTCTTTCACTGCAGAAGGATGGACTCCAGTTTAAAGGCAGTTTCATGTTCATTCTGTTCAAACACTGCTTTGTACAGGAAGCCAATTCTACCAAACTTAATGTAGACATAGGGATTGCCTATTGTTTAAGTATTTACTGGATTTTATTATTTATCTCCTGCATCGTGACAGACAAACAAACTATCCACAGTGGATTCTGCATCTCGATGACTGGACTATGCAAGAATTTTAGTTTAATTACAAATTTTCTAACTACGTGTTGAATATGAATAGAGAAAGACAGTCAGCTGTCTGCCCACAGGTCTACCTGGGGGTAGACTGGGTGTTTTGGTTGCTGGCCTGCTTCTGTGGGGGTTGTGGTCTGGGGTGGCTCGGGCCTCTCAGTTGCATGGTGGGCACTCCGCTGGCTGTGAGGCAGTTCTTGGGGCTGGGGGGCTGGGGCCCCATCCTTGGCTTGTGCTGGGGTTGCCGGCCTGTCTGCTGCCTCTGGTTCCCTGGCACTCCTGCCCTTGGCTGTGGGAGCTCTGTCCAGCTTCCCTCTCCCCCTGCTGGGGTGGACGCACATGTGTCATTGGGATGTGTGGCCTCAGGTTTTTAATGCTTTTATGGGGTCGTGGATGCTGGGGCCTCCAAGAGATGCTGCTATGACTTAGAAAGTAGCTGCTTATTTTTATTATTTCTTTCTAACTAGCATAAAAAACATTCGCTAATGTAGATTAGATCACAAAAATCTCAGAGATTTTCAGAACTTTCAGAGATACAAGTCTGGTGTTTTATTGGTAATTGCCAGCCAAGAAGCTGATGCACTTTATTATATTTATTGGGTAAATATTTTTATTGATATTCTGGTCTTCAGTGATAGTTTACAGTCCAGCTTCAGTAAAAGCAAGTCAAATTCACATTTACTGTCAATGGCCAACATTGACAGGTAAGAGTAGACCATATTCACCTTTAATATTGCTTTGGATCAGTTTATGCTTTTTATTAGGTTGCAAATTCTATTTCTTTGTTACATTTAGTTAAAAGAAACAGGTAAGATAGGACATGTAGCCAAAGCCAACAAAACGTTATAAAGCTTCTGTCTTCCCTGCATTCATTGATGATGATTTCACAAAACGAATGTAGATCCCCAACCTGCTGTTAAAGTAATTACCGTAAGATTATATTTTTCTTCATTTCTAGCTGAGTATGTTTATGTGTGATTGTCCGTACAAAGGTTTGTGTCACGGCTGGCGGGGTGAGCCGTGCGGTGTTGGAGGAAAAGGAGGACCCAAAATGCGGCAGTGACTGATGATTCGAGTGTTTATTTACAAGTGGTGGAGTGGCAAAAACAGGCAGTGAGGCATGACAAAACAACTGAAGAAACCTAAACTGGGAGAACTAAATGACAAACCTGAGAGCATACAAAAGGGGTGCAGGGCAGCGAGCCGCAGAGACAGGAACGAAACACCATAGAACGCAGATGAGCCAACGACGAACACAGACCGACACCCACTATATATACACACACAAGGTAATCGGGTAATCGAACACAGGAGGGAAGAACAGCTGATCTGAATACACATGATGACTGGAGGACACAAGCTGAACACAATGACAACAGACACAGACCTTCAGAATAGAACAGGAAATCCAGAACACGAACCTTCAAAGTACAGCAGGAAACACACAGACTGAATTACAACACAACACGGGGACACAAACAGAGCACCAAGGACAGACACAGGTAGGGCTGATAAAACACTAAACTTCAGGTTCAACCCTAAACTAATACAAAATCAGAATAAACACAAGGCACAAAAATGACCCAGGACCATGACAGTCTGAGGAGAATGAAGTAAGAGAGGACAAAGAAATTGTATGATAGCAGGAAGAGCCAGGTGAGCAAATTTGCAGATAGTTAAATGGAAAAACAATTATTTTTGACATAATTCACATAGATTTTATGGATGCTTTGTGTGATTTCCAATAGCATATGATACAAATGGTAGCACTTAACATTTAAAAGTTTGGACTTAGAATCTCTGCTGTTTTCTGTGTTCACCAGCTTTGAATATCCAAAATGGTACTCTGGTAATTTGGGGGATTTTATATTTTTGGAAGCAGAATTCAATCTTGTACACAAGCTTCAACTGACAGAGGTCCATTAATTTACAGGAGGAAGAGTCAGGTAACACCACTGTGCTGCCACTTATTATGTTATGACATGCCATGACAAACCCAGCCAACCCAGCCTCCACAACTGTAAGACACCTGCTGGGCTGGTTTACTGGTTATTACAAAAACTCAGTTCTCATATTGTGGCTCAGACTACTGTACAGTGTATCAACTGTGCTGACAAAGAAAACTTTGAAAAATCTCTTTGGATTGGTCGCCCTTGATTATTGTAACATCAGCTACATTCATCACCGCCCCGTTGTCCTCCACCCCAGATCATTTTGGAGGCTAAAACAGTTATCCTGGCTCTTTCTTTAGTACCTGGTGGAAATGCAACTAGGTTTTCAAAAGGTTGTTGGTCCCCAGGGAAGTTTCTTTGCTGAACTCTGAATACTATAAATAATAGCTAATTATTGGTCATTTGTACTTCTGGAGAGAAAACTGATAAATTTTTGTGGAAATGGAATCCTACTTAGCACTCAGTATTTTAAAAAAACAAAACGCAAGGTTGTTGTGTATTAATTTGAGTATAAATCAGAAGAAATATTGGACATTAATTAAGATCACTTCTGTGGGGTGATGAATTTGTTTTGGGTTGTTAGACATAACTACTGATGTTATTCATTTCACTGCTTGCCACGTTACATTCTTTTAAACTGGGATGTTAAATGGAAAATTCATTGTGTTTTGATGGCTGTTATGCTAACCCAACACTAAAGCTAAAAAAACAACAACCAGATTTTAACA